CAGATTCCTTGTCTTTGAGTCAGATACAACACAGACACACCTGAGTGAAACAGAGTGGCTTTTATTTCTGGGTATTTGCTCTGGACAATGACATTGTTGTCAATTCTGAGAAAAATAAAATCACAATAGACTCCAAATTTAAGTCTTTCAGACTGATAGATGTCAGTGACTTTGTTAAGATGGTAGTGTGATGTCCTCTCTTTGTTACACAGCTTCTACTTAATCCAGCATGTCTGTAGTCAGGACTGGGTGTGACATGAAACTTGTCGTTAATCACAGTTAACTCCTGATTTATCAGCTCTGCATGTGAGGACCCAGGAGAGCTCTCTCCCTCTCTCTGCTGTCCAAACATCCCTCAGACTGAGGTTTGAGTGTAACTGGTGTGGTTCTGTGTTGTGTCTGACGATAAAAGGTAAAAGAAAGAAAGACCTCCAAATAAATAGCTTGCCCACTCCAGCTCCTCTCCCACAGGGGAATTGTAGAAAAGGGGCAGCATTTATTTTTTACATTAAAGAAGGTTTTAAGCTTTGTGAAGCGCTATGTCTTCACAATGTATTGTGTAGGTGACTTGGAGCACAGAAGGATTGCGTACATGCTTACAAACACATATAATCCAGAAGCCTGCCAGGCCAAAGGCCCAAAATTCATTTTGCTTCTAACTGCATTTCAGTTTGCTTGGTAACGGATGACAGAAGACCAGTCAAGAAAGGACAAGCCCTCAGGGACCATCTAGGCTTGAAATTTATTGCCATGTATGGAAGGTGTTATAGAAAGAGGAACTTCTGTGTCTGTTTTTAGCCATCTAAGATGTACCATTTACTGTAATCAATGTATTTCAAGGTTCAAGGTTCAAGGTTCTTTATTTGTCACATGCATAGTTATCAGTGTTGGGACTAACGCGTTATTAAGTAACACGTTACAGTAACTACGTTATTATTGTGGTAACGAGCACGGTAACTAGTTACTATGCCAAAATCAGGAACGCGTTACTCGTTACTGGGATTTAGATAGGGTCGTTACTCGTTACTTCGTGTGGTGGCTATCGCGGAGTTTCCACAGATTCAGTAACATTAGCAAGTGGTGGAGGCAGCAGGTGGATGAAGGAAAAGGGACACAGAAGGAAAAGAGACCCGAGGCGGCCAAGTGTGAACTGAACTTCAGGTAAGAAGTTATGACCTGCAGTCTCTCTGGGTCAGATATGAACCAAGTTTAGGTGGAGTTTATTTTCGTTATGCTGACTTTTTCCGTACTGCGTGCTAGCTAGCATGACGGAGTTTCTACACAGCTGGGTGGTGCTATGAAGTTAATGATGTTGAACTTTATTTTGTTCATAAGTTATTAGAGTTGCCAACCGTCCCGTCTGGTATTCAGAGAAAATATTACGCGTTTCTTCTTGAGGTGAAAAGGAACAGTTTGTCCCGGACTTCAGCTACAATGAAAAAGACACAAAGCTGGATTTATTCTGTGTCTTTGCTGCACAGCTGCCTCTTCTTCTTTCATTCTCTCCCCCTCCCTCTCCTGTTTCTGCTTCAATCATGAAAACTGATCAATGATCAGCTGATCGTCTTTTCTCTCTTGTTTGTTTATCGCCCACTTTGCGCTGAAAGAGGAAACCAGCGGATGTCTATGGGCTCAAAATGTGGTCATAAATATTTTGTACTTGTAAAAAAGATTTGTATGTGTAAAAAAGATTTGTATGTGTAAAAAAGAATTTGTATGTGTAAAAAGAATTTGTGTGTGCGTAAAAAAGATTTGTGTGTGCGTAAAAAAGATTTGTATGTGTAAAAAAGATTTGTATGTGTAAAAAAAGATTTGTATGTGTAAAAAGAATTTGTGTGTGCATAAAAAAGATTTGTATGTGTAAAAAAGATTTGTATGTGTAAAAAGAATTTGTGTGTGCGTAAAAAAGATTTGTATGTGTAAAAAAGATTTGTATGTGTAAAAAGAATTTGTGTGTGCGTAAAAAAGATTTGTATGTGTAAAAAAGATTTGTATGTGTAAAAAGAATTTGTGTGTGCGTAAAAAAGATTTGTATGTGTAAAAAAGATTTGTATGCGTAAAAAAGATTTGTATGCGTAAAAAAGATTTGTATGTGTAAAAAAGAATTGCATGTGCGTAAAAAAGATTTGCGTGTGGACTTAGAAAAAAACCCCCTGCAAGTTACAAGTACGAATTTTTGACCCTATTTTTCTTCCCTTCATCTGATTGGTCAATGTCATGTCAATCACAAATGTAACAATCCAATCAGAGAACAGATGGGTTTGGCTGTCGAGGGGCGCTTTTTTTGAACTGCAGGTCTTTGAAGGGAATAAATGCCCTTTTACATGCCAACCCAGCGTTTTCCTTCATCACCACGAAGGAAAACAGTCTGTGGTCGTCCGAGTTTGGTGATTTTTGTGTCACAGGTCTACGTGTTTAATACAGGGACTTCCACAGCCTTTTCAACAGCGCTGCGGACCGCGGGGTGGGGGCAGGCAGTGTTTTGGAAATTACAGTCTTTATTACAAAGCTTTCTTCGTTATGAATTAGCATACATGTTTTTATTGAACATTTGAAGAACTAGCAAAAAAAACAAACTCTTGTAGAGGACATAAAGTCAGAGATAAAAACGACAAGGAGCAGGTGCATCTAGTACAGGAAGAGCTGCTGCAAAAACCCACAGAGCCCAGCAGCCAGCGTAACAAATTCTGGATCCTTTGCTTTTAGTTAGCAGTTAGCATTAGCAGCACATCCTGCGTCCGATGTGAAAGAACTTTTATGCTGCGCACTGTGACTCACAGCAATGGTCCTGGGTCAGCCCTGACTTTGTGTTAAACTAATCCTAAAGCAATAATGTTATTTCTAACCACTGATATACCACAACTTTTACCAACAACCTTTAATGTTTTCCATTTCAATCGTGAGCTGTGACCTCCAGAAACAGTTGAGCAAAATGAGACTTTCCTTTTTAAGATGATTTAAGAATCTTCTGTCATACTTGCCATAGCAACCTTTAACAACCAAAGAGCCACTTGGATCACGGCTACGAAATGCCGTTGCAACTTTGCCAGGACGGCGGCTCGCAAGGCCTCCCTTGGTGCTGCATTACAACCGCAACAAGGGAGGCGTCGACAACCTGGACAAGGTCGTGAGCACGTACAGCTGCAGGAGGCCCGTGGCCCTTTTCCACAACATGGTCGACGTGGCGGCCTACAACGCATTCGTGCTGTGGAGGGAAATTCACCTGTACTGGATGGCGGGCAAGCTCAACAAATGACGGCTCTTCCTTGAGCGACTGGGCAAAGCGCTCGTGCGCCCAATGCTCGAGGCCAGGGCGTTAGCGCGAGGACGGGGAGGAGGCCGAGTCGCGGCCCGAGGTACTGCCACCGAGGCCGACGATGCCGATGCTCGTACTACTCGCACCGCCGACGCTACGCCACACGACTCCTCTCCGGTCAAGAGGCGAAGGTGCCGCGTGTGTCCCAAGAGCAAAGACGTCAAGACCAAGATCCTGTGCCACGAGTGCCGAGTGTACGTGTGCACCAACTGCGCCGTCACGTACTGTCCCAACTACGCCGCTTCACGCACCGACGCTCCCCAGACGCCGCCGACGTCGTAATAACACAAGCGCCCCTCGGGGGTCCTAGCGACCCCCACCCTAATCATCATAATAACACACACGCCCCTCGGGGGGTCACCACGCCCCGAGAACAGGCGGGCGCACAAGGGTTAAACTGTCATTTGTGTCTTGAAGTGCAGAAGCTTACGGCACCTGGTATTCCCAGGCGGTCTCCCATCCAAGTACTGGCCAGGCCCGACCCAGCTTGGCTTCCGAGACCAGACGAGATCAGGCGTGTTCAGGGTGGTGTGGCCGTAAGCGAGGGACTGCTTCAGAAACAGCCTTTTTATACATGCTGTGATGACACGGTCGTGCTTACGTTTTTTTATGTCCTGTATACAAGTTGAATTCTCCAAAGCACAAAAATGTTGGACTTCCAAATGGTCCTAACACACTGTGTGCTCTCTGTCACTTTAACACTGTGCTGTGAGAAACTAACATGTGTTATTATGGTGACGTTACCGCGGGAAAAGCATTTTTGCAGCTCAGTGTTGAAGCTGCAGTTCACAACAAAGGTTTGCATGTTTTCGCTGTAACATGTGAAGCTTAGCACAATACTATATTTTAAAGTGCATGACATTTGCCAAGTATAAAAGGTCTTTTATAGCGGGCTTCCCTCGCTTACGGCCATACCACCCTGAACACGCCCAATCTCGTCTGATCTCGGAAGCTAAGCAGGGTCGGGCCCGGTCAGTACTTGGATGGGAGACCGCCTGGGAATACCAGGTGCTGTAAGCTTTTGCACTTCCACACACAAACTGCAGAGGGCGCCGCTGCTCACTCAGTGGAGGCAGCTTCAGGAAAAGCTTCATGACAACGCTCCTGATTGTATTTCGCTTTTGTGCAAAACAAAATAACAAGAACGAAATATTTAGGAAATACACAAACTTATTTATTCTGTAAATGTAGAAAATGTCTGTGGCTAGTCCGTCTGGCCTCAGTCGAGAGGAACTTGTTAACCTTGTAGTGTGCAGCGGGCACAGTGTCAACCTGACACCCATGTTCACTATTGTAGTCTGTTCAGAGAGCTACGCTTCCACTGCTGTAGATATATTCATAGCACTCTGTAGATCTGTTTACCTCACACCGATAGATCTGTATATATGTAGTACATCTGTATATTTGCTCTTATTGCACTTACTGATAAGATGCAAACTGTATTTTGTTACCCTGTATTTAGACATGTGTAATGACAGTAAAGTTGAATTCTAAATGCTAAACATTTAAACAAAAGCAGCTACACAGCTACAGGAAAAGTTTTTAGAAGTGATTTTTAGAAGGCCAGTAAAGAGAGCATGGAGACAGATGGAGGATGCCAAATCCACTGAATCTACACGCTTCCTGTTTCCACCTCATCCTTCCAGTGCTCTACTATACTCCCTGCTCTCTCTACCACAACTGTCTTTGAACTTGCCTGGGCCAGGTCTGAGTCCAGCTTTGCAACTCCAGCCAGGTCACATGACACAGGGGTGTGGTCTGATGTCAACAGGCAGGTCAGTGGAGCCCTCTGGTGATGGATTTATGGCAGTGAAGCAGGAGGAGGCCTGAGAACAGACAGCAGGCTTAACTAGCAGGACAAAGTAGCATGTAGTACTTGAAGGAGTCATCACAGCCAATCAGTTCTCAGGAAAATGGAACATCACATAAATATTTCTCTTCTTTGATTTTCATCAATGTATTTCCTTTGAAATTTAAAAAAGTAATTTTTTTTATTTTTTATTTTGAAATATTTCCTTCTGTCAATATCTCTGCCTGATTAGAAGCTCATAGGCACTTCCTGTCACTCTACAATAAAATAATGTAAAGGCTGCCCTCTCTGCCATCCCACTAGCTGACCTAACTGACACAAGTAAACTGTGCTAAGATACTCTACATGGACTGAGGTTCTTGGCCACATACATATAGATTTGTGTGGCTGTAGAAATCATGCCATGAAGCTCCCAGCGCACATTTTTGATGCTTCTGTTTGTGGCAGAGGAGGTTTGGAGCTCGGCAGAGCCTTGGTGGCTTTTACTGACTATACACCCCTACCCATTTATTATGAACTAACAGCACAACTGTTTGTGTTTTTTTTCTATATTACACTTGCATGATTTAGATTTATACTTATGTGGCAGCTATTCACTGGCCTGACAAAGTTATTTTAAATGATATCATGTCATGAATAACACAAGTTATTTTCCATGAAATTGAAAAGTGAATGAGACGTGCATGTAATTTGACATATTTTGTTGTTTTGTGTGTGTGTTTGTCTGTATTAAATTTTGACGTGTATCTGAAAAACACAATTTTGGAAACACTGGAAAGACCTCAAGACATTTTTTCTTTTGCTTTCTATGTAAACAAAAATTCCCACCAAGGCTTTTCATTGTGAAATTTAGTGTGTAGAGAAAATACCTGTGCCAGGTTGTCTCCATCTAGTGGTGAATAACGCATTACCACTACATCAGGTGAGTTTCTCTCTGTGCACAGTGACACAAAACTCATTTAACAACATAAACTATTTAAAAAATGATGTAGGCAGATCAAGGCAATGTTACAGATTCAGTAAGAACAGAAGTTTATTGCAATGCTTCAAATATGCAGGGCGTCACACTAACACAGTTGCTTATGTCCAGCATAGCACTGGGGCTAAATCCAGACCTGAAATCTTTGGAAGTTTCACTCAGTAACAGCACCTTTTTAATATTATTGACTATATTTTATAGTCACAGTTATAAAAAATGTCAAACATTATACGTTAGCTAAAGGTTGAAGTCACAGAGCTATACTGAACAACAATGCAATTTGAGTTTTTCTTGTTTGTACTATATATTTGATTTACTGTAAGCAGCGGGAGTAAAACCTAAAGAAAAAAATAGTAAAAATGAATCTCTGCTCTTACAGCTTTTATTGTGCCGTCACGTCTCCTTTGGAACTGTCCTCTTGCTCGTCTTTTGGATGCTCACCTCTTCTTCACCTTTCCTGTTCCTTTCACTAAACTGCTGCACTCCTGTTCTCTGCTCTCGCCTCCTGTTCTGGTTATAATTAGAATGCAATCAGCATGTGCCAAACAAACTTGCTTCAAATCGATCATGTTTGATATGATGATGAAGTTTTTAACCTCTTATTTATCAACTTATTTGATGCACTGTATCAATCAATTATTAAACAAATATCAGACTGTAGAAACGCCAATAATAATGCACTGAGCAAGTTCATGCCATAAGAGCTAAATGGCCATAAAAGAAAATCCTGAATGCCTGATACAGGACAGGCCAACTTTGAATGGAGCCACAGATGGACATCAGTCAGCTTTCTGCACTTTCCACCTGATCACATCTGTCCTCAAAGTCATGTCACTTCCTCTGTGGTTCATTTATGTTTCCTTTTACATTTGCAGTGACAATAAATTTAGTGACATAGTGCACACATTATTTCCTATGGACTGCTGGGTTATCTTGGTTTATTTAAGTTAGTATTTTTAAAGGTGCAGTGAGTCATTTTTTAGGTATTTGATAGAAAAAAGCATCTTGTACTCATAAATAAACATAGAATAGTGGATAAAAATGACACATTGTTAAATGTGTCATTGGTCACTGCTTAATTTCCTCATTATTTAAGCATCACTCATCCTTAATATGTCATTTATAAATACAGATATACGTTCTTAGAAAGAACCACTTCTGAACCTGATCTCTTTACTCCAAGGAGCTTTTGTGAGTTATCGTTGTGCCAGAGGAGGAGGGCATCCAATACTTCTTTCATTTCACCTGAGTTCGCCTGTGGGAAAGCAAAGCGCCGAATACCCTGACTATTTCTTTGAATTCAGGAGGACTTGGGAACTAATCTTGAGTGATTACTGAATTATCTGAATAAAGCCAATGAACCAGAGAAATTCTAAACTCCTAAACATCCCAGAGATGTCTGAATATATGTCTGCACCTTCAGACTCCAGATATGAAGGATCAAACCTGTTTTACCTCCAGTGTTGTGCCAAAAAGTCATCGTCTGACAAAAACTGATTTCCAATGTCTTTACTTATATTGGTAAATAGACTTTAGTGAACATGATTTAAAAAGGGTATATATCAAGTTTAATAACGACCCATTTTTCCAAGTATATTTATAACTCTGTGTTATTGTAACTATATCAAAACCAACCCAGTCCTTCTGGGACACTTAAAATATGTTTAGAGAACTATTATTATATTTGTTGCAATTTCTGCTGTCCTCTTGGCCAGATTACTCTTTAAAAAAGTAATTTTAATGTCAAATGAATAAATACGAAGTAAAAATCACTGCCAAAAAGTGATTGCAGCTTCTACCTTGTGACAGGAATGTTGTTTGTGGCACAAGATGACTCGATATCACTCATGAGGGACACATTTGACATGTTTCACATATTATAGACCAAAAAGTTATCTATAGCAGTTTATCCCTCCTGTTATGTTGCGGGTCAGATTGACCCAGAACAGAAGAGATGTCACATGTCATCTGCATCACTGCAGAAAACGAAAAAAATCTAAATTATAAAAGAAAATTGTAAAATAATCAATGCCAGTGTTTCCTACACTTTTGGATGAGTAAATTTGCCCCGGGTCAAATTAACCCAGAAGCATAACTGTTGTTCCTGGAAACCAACATAACAGGAGGGTTAAATATGATCAACTGGTTTTTGACAAATACCGGGAATTAGCTTATGGCAGATATGACTTTTTGACACAACACTGGCTAACTGACAAGACCTAGTTATAAGCTAATATTACGGCTGAATATTATTGCACCTAACCTTGGGCTCCAGTATTCTAAAACTCGCACTTCCCCTCTGATAAACCATATGATTATGTAACAAATATGTCAGCTTACCAAAGAACAGAGGACAATTTATTCAGGGTGTGACAGCACTTTACCACCTGTGTCCAACATATAATACAAATTTCTGGACTGGAGCACGTACATCGTTAAAAACTCCAGGACTTCATCACAGCCTCTCTCACATCCGCTTTACATGTGTAGTTTACAGGAAACTTAAATGACACTGGGTGAATATGTTTGTAGCAGGATAAAATTAGGGTCCCTTATATGAATGGGATTTAAACAGAAGAAAAATATTGGCATCAGTTACCAACACTTCACTCAATTGAGACTCACTTGTGTTTAACACTGGAATATGTGAACATATTACTTATTGAGTCGTTTCTCAGTTCATGGGTTGTAAAACCGCAACATCCTCCATCCGTAGTAAGAGAAAGCGTCTGTGGCAATAACCAAAATGTCTCCATACAGCCTTTGTGAATAAGAAAATATTTTTAAAAAATCTTTTTAAAATGTATAGAGCTAAATATAAAACGTGTCTGTGAGTCCTTCAGTCCAACTACTCGAGGTCGAGGAGAATATATAGCAGCCGCTGATCCCTCAATGGCACCAGTAAGACGGCAGGACAGCAGGGCCTCTTCCTCAGCAGAAGTCTCCTCCACTGCTAGCAGGAGAATGACACACGAGTATTTTAAAGGTACTGCGTGTACAGATATCACCGCTGGCTCACACAAGCTGCTCTGACACAGCTACAGACCTTGGCTGTGTCCCAATCCAGTGACCGCACGCTCCTGAGTACGCATTTTGAAACCTATTACGTCACAGCGACGTGACGACGGCTGTCCCAATTTGAAGTGTACTCCAAATGCGCCGTCGATTTCCCCAAATTTGAAGTGTGGTCCGCTGTACACTTCGTGGTCCCATATATCCCACAATTCATAGCGCGGTGGTGGGTGTGGATAATTTTGCCGAAAAACACGGCAGAGGGCAGAAGCGGAGCAGCCGAAGAGTAAACTTTCAAAAGTAAGTTTACTGTATATGATGTCACTTATTTATGTGCGAATGTTTAATAATGAAGAACATTAAAACATTACTGTTGGCCACATGTCGGCAAAGTTATGTGACATTAGTTGTGAATGTACTAACTTGGTTTTACAGCCTTTACTTTAAAATATACGCCGTTCAATAGTCGACCTTAATCTGACAGAGAATGTGATGATTTTGTGGATAATTAAAGTCAGTCATATATCCACAAACACAACAAGCTGAAAGTCAGTGATGCTGCTCGGTTTGCAGTCCTGAACATCACGGCACAAGCAGGATCCACTGCACTGTTAATGTGAGCTGTGTTATATTGCTGCCTCTGTTCGGTGGTGTCGAGCCAAACGCACTTTAACGTGTGTTTGAACGAGCTGACGGTTCACTCGTTAAGCTGAAAGAAAGATGCTTTAATCACAGCAGTCACACATGTGTCCACTGCACCATCTGGGACTCTTCTTGTTTCGTAATAACACAAACACTAAATCCTGCTTCTCTGTGCTGTTGTGTAGCAGTGTGTACACCTGAGACTGTCACCTGTCTGTCTGTCCTGCACTCTCTCTCTGTTTCTTTCTCTCTGATTGTGGAATAAAAGTATGAACGTGTGTTTATAAGTTACACTTGTGTTTGAATCCTGCAGCTTATCACACATTTGATTTCCATGTGTGACGACTGCAAGTGTCCAGAGTGAGGACAGACTGAGGGAGCCACTGCTGCACATCATCTGTGAGGCTTTGCACCCCTGATGATCCACCAGGACAAACTCAGCAGTGTGTGAGGAAGAGGAGGAGGAAGAGCCAGCAGCAGCTGACAGATGGAGAGAATAGACAGACTGTTCCCTGTTTGTGAAGGACTGCTAGGAAAGTTTAACATAACTGTCTGTGCTGAATCAGCCTTATTAGGTAATGTTCAAATAATGTGATCATCCCAGTGTTTCCAGTGTGGGAGAAAGTACTCAGAGTACTCAGGGCCTTCAAGTTACACACTATGAAAGGCAGCAACAAGTTTAATGTTCAGAAACCTAAAGTATGTATCAGCAGCAGAATGGAGCTAAAATAAATGTTGGTTTCAGTTCTATGAAGCTTTGAGTATTTTGGATCAGTAGCTGCTGTGTTTGTTGCATCATATTGCTGTAACTGTTTATATGCTTTATACACTCAACAAAAATATAAACGCAACACCTTTGTTACTGCTCCCATTCCCCATGGGATGGACGTAGAGACCTAAAATTCATTCCAGATACACAATATAACCATCCCTCCCAAACAGTGGTCACAAATCAGTCCAAATGTGTGGTAGTGGGCACATCTGCCATATTGAGATAATCCATCCCACCTCACAGGTGTGCCACATCAGGATGCTGATCTGACATCATGAGTAGTGCACAGGTGTACCTCAGACTGCCCACAACAAAAGGCCACCCTGGAATGTGCAGTTTTTTGCGCTATTGGGGGTCTGGGGACCCAGAACCGGTCAGTATCTGGTGTGACCACCATTTGCCTCATGCAGTGCAACACATCGTCGCATGGAGTCTATCAGATTGTCAATTGTGGCCTGTGGAACGTTGGTTTTCTCACCCAATAAAGGAATATTTCATATATCAGTCGACTCTTCATTCTATCAGACACAGTTATCACAGCTCGTACATTTTGTTTTTACACATATATGTAAGCATTGAGCCAAATGTAATAATGCCAACATACTGAAGGAACAACATTTGTCTCTTATATATGATACATCTATATCAGGGGTCGGCAACTTTTCTGATGACGAGTGCATCTAAAATTTCCTCAGAAGTCAGTGTGCCATATGATTGCATTAGCAATAAATTTAATAACGCTCTATATTAACAGTTACACACTATATAGAACCACTTTATAGGATTATATTTGTTTGCAGATGCTGGCAGCTGTCAGCGAATAGTTATCAGCTATTTTGAAACAAAAAAAACACATTTTATCCATAAGAGCAAATGAACTGTACAACAGAAAATACAAATGCTGTTTATGGTCTCCTCACAACAATGACAAGAAAAATAAACTGGGCCAATATGGCATGTTTGTTAATACAGAGACACACATGTTAATGTGATCTCTGGTCTCCCACTCAGAGACACAGGTCTCCCAGTGTCCAGCATTCAGAGGCTACCTGAGGACTCATGTGAGAGAAAATCTG